AGCAACTCCACTCTTAGGCATATATCCAAAAGGTGCCCATTCATACAACAAAGATGTCTGTTCTACTATGTTCATAGCAGCATTATTTGTAATAACCAGAACTTGGAAGCAACCTAGATGTCCCTCAACCGAAGAGTGGATAGAGAAAATGTGGTACATTTACACAATGGAGTACTATTCAGCAGAAAAAAACCAATGGATTCTTGAGATTCGCAGGCAAATGGATGACACTAGAAGAAACCATCCTGAGTGAGGCAACCCAGTCACAAAAAGAGAAACATGGCATGTACTCTCTCATATATGGATTTTTAGACATAGATCTGGGGAGTGCCAGCCTACAATCCCATGGTCAGAGAGTCTGGGAAACAGAAACTTCATTTAGTGGCTGATCGAAGAAGAGGCAGACTCCCTCGGTTAAGTACTAAGCTGAACTCAAGAAAGCCAGTAACAGAGAGGGAGGACTGATGACCAAAAGGATTAAGACTGGGCTGGTTTAACCCCCAGAAACAGCTGACCTGACAAAGGTTAGCTCTTGAATCCCAGGCATCAGCCTGGGAATCCAGCATGGGACTGATCAAAAAATAATTTCTATGTCTGTATTTCTTGATTGTAAAAATGAAGAGGAGAATAAGGTCAAATTGTTCCATTATAGCTTTAGAAGTTTTGGTTTATGTCAATGTCAAAAGAAACAATTCTAAATTTCATCATGATGACCCCATTCTTTTTATTAGGATAAACAGTTCATTGTGTATGACTAAAGTCTTTTACAATACATCTAAGAATACCTTATTTATCCCTCTGCACAAGAAATATTACAGTTAGAAACCATAATTAGCTCACACACCTTTTGTTATATTTTAGGAGTTGGTAAAAACTATATTCAGACTTTATTATCACCAGATTTCTTCATTTATTTTTAAAAATTCTTTGGTATATATTTCATTGCCTTTATTTCTTTTTGTTGGACTAGAGACTCAAATTAGCTCCATAGCCTTAAAATTTTTAACTAAGGAACCAAAGCTGGATAGTTTTATATAAGTGAATGAGTGAGTTTTACAACACTAAAATTAAATTAGTAATACAAATGTAATAATTCACATCTGCAATATGAACTCTATATCACTAAACTGCTATAATAAGGTAATGCAAATGTAGAAACTCATATCTGTGTGTGGATGAATAGCTAGATTCACGTGTCATATATGTAAATAGATAGAATCAATGATGTTCTATTATATAAAATATTATATTATGTAAAACAATATGAAATGTTATTTTGATAACCTCAGCACATGTAAATGATACATAATTTTACCAAACAATTAATTATACTGAATCTCCTACATATAGTATATTTCTGGCTCCAACTTCATTAGGGGGCTTTTATTTCCTATCAAACAGGCTCTGAACCAATTTCAATCTAACTTCTTGCTGTCCACCTGAATATTTCACCTCTTTTTCTCATTGCGCATATTGCTTTTGCTGAGAATAATTAGGTCAAGACTGCAATCATGTATTGACAGTATCTTCCCAATGGAATGAGACACTGAGACGGTTGAGACTTGACTTGTTTCAGATGGTCAGAGCCTGTGGCCTTCCACATGCTGCTTCCATTTTGTTTCCTAATGGCTCAGATATGCAGGTATGACCTGTGGTCATATTTCCTATCACTTGTGTGATTCAAGAGATCATGTGCTCTTTTCAGAAATATATAATAGATTGTGTCTTTGTGTCTCTCTCAGTACCTATTGTTGTAATTTAAGAAAAGCATCTTGAGAGAGAAAGATGCCACGTGTCAGGGTTCAAGTAGAAGGGTTTTTTTAATTAGGGAAAAGGATAATAAAATGGGGAAAGGCAAGGGGGGAGTCAAGCCCCCAGAGACTGGAGCAGCAGGAGAGAGGAAAGAGGGAGACAGAGCGAGAGAGAAAGAGGAAGTGACACACTGAGGGAGAGAGAGAAAGAAAGAGAGATAGAAGAGGATGGGAGGTGGGCAGGGCCCTTTTAAAAGGGAACATAGTGAATGTGCACAGGTGGTGCTCTTAGTAGCTACAGCTGAGGGCTGATCCTGTCAGAATTCCAAGGACAGGGCTATACAGATTCCTGAATACTGACACCTATTACAGAGCAGATAGTGAATAAAAGATCACTTAATAAAACAGTGAACTTAAATTTTTAGTGTTGTCATCAGGGAGCAATATTTCCACATAATAGTGACTTCTCTACTATAGATGTGCCTTAATTTATCCATAAAGTAAGAGGTTAGGATGGGTGTTCAAATATTCTTACCCCCCTCCCTTCCCCTTTAGCACCCTCTGAGATACCTACCATCTTACACCTGTCAAAATGGCTAAGGTCAGAAATACTGAGGACAGCTTATGTTGGAGAAAAATCTGGAGTCAGAACACTCCTTTAACGGGGAATGTTCTTGTGTGTATATGTTTCTTTTATTGGTTAATGAATAAAACATTGATTGGCTGATTGGCTAGACAGGAAGTGATGTAGCTTGGCAGAATCAGGATATAAGCAGGGAAAACAGGATATCGCTGTCTTCTCTGCAGAGACTCTGAACAGTCATGTAGCAGGCAAAGGAGTTGCAGGTCCGGCATTTCCGGGTAAGCCAAGACCACATAGAAATACATGAAATAGTAGTTATGGGTTAATAATTAAGATAGAGATATCCAATAAGAAGCCCTAGTTAGTGGCCAATATTTTTATAATTAATATAGTGTCTGTGTGTTTTGGGGGGCAGAGAAGGGCAGCAGGATCTGCTGGGGCAGAAAACTCACATTACACTCCTTCACTGCTGCTGGGTGTGCAAACTTTTACAGCCACTTTAGAAATCAGTATGGCAGTTTCTAAGAAAACTTGGAATCAGTCTATCTCAAAACCTAGCAATACCACTTTTGGGCATACACCCAAAGGATATTCTGTCATATGAAAAGAAGACTTGTTCAACAATGTTCATAGCAGCATTATTCATAATATCCAGAACCTGGAGATAATCTATATGTCCCTCAACTGAAAAAAAGGTGGTACATTTACATAATGGAGTGTTACTCAGCTGTAAGAAACAATGACATCATGAAATTTGCAGGCAAATGGAGGGAACTAGAAAAAATATCCTAAGTGAGGTAGCCCAGACTTAGAAAGACTAACACAGTATGTACTCATGCATAATTGAATATTAGACATAGAGTAAAGAATAGCCAGCCTACAATCCACAGGTCCAGAGAAGCTAGGTAACAAGGAGGACTCTAATAAGGACATATGAATACTCCTGGGAATAAGAAATAGATGAGATCTCCTGGGTTCTCTTCTGTAATGCAGTCAACACTCTCTTCTGTCTGCAAAGCTTTGATAAGGCAATGGCTATGGAAAATTCACTTGGAATATCTAAAAATGAAAATATAAGACCTAATAAAATTGCTTCAACCTTATTTTAGGATTGTGTAAGTAAATGTAGTGTTATCTTTTTCAATGGTCTACTTGGCAGACTTCATATTTTATCTGATTGAAGGCCAGGGAAATGATGTGACTGTCATTGAATAATTAATTAGGATAGGCAGAACAATGCTCTAAAGTGATTACATAAGTAACTCAATTGCTGTAGTTTGTATTAGTTCAGCCCTATGACTAACTTTGAAAAGATTACCTTTATAAAACGGATCACTCAGAGAGCATTGCCACCCTAAAATATTAAACAGAATACATTACAACAATCCATCCAAAACCAAACACTCTACTTTTAGTATGCATTTAAATAGCTTCCCATGCTTCTTTCCATTATCTTTAGTTTCTAATGGTTTTTGTTTTGATTTGTTTGTTTGTTTGTTTTCCCAGACAGGGTTTCTCTGTGTAGCTTTGGAGCCTGTCCTGGAATTCAATTTGTAGACTACGCTGGCTTTAAACTCACTGAGATCTACCTGCCTCTGCCTCCCAAATGCTGGGATTAAAGGTGTACACCACCTCTGCCTGGCTTATGTTTTATATGTAATTTTGTTTTCCAAGACAGATGTGTCTAACTCCCTTTTGTGGACTGAATGCACAGTAAGATATCTATGGATGTGCCAGAAACCAAAAGTTTAAATTTTCTTTAAACATCCTGAATTTTTGCAAGTTTTGTAACCCAGTTATGCATTTATCAAGCATGAATTGTGTGGATGACATGTTACAATGTCAGAGACATAGATCATGCAGAAAGCTATTTTCATTCTGAATCCTTTTGTTATGCATTAAGATAAAATGTTTAAGAGCTTAATTAAAACTTTTGGTGTAACATTTAAATTTCAATCTTTTTTCTGAGTTCTTTTTTCCCTAGAAATTCATATTCTTTGAAGTTTCACTATATCTACCCCATGAATTATTTTGAAAATGTACTACTGTGAACTTCATATTTCATTTTGACTTACTGTAGTTAAAAGCAAAGAAAAAAAGACAAAGGTAAAAGTAGCATTAGAAAATAAAGGACACCAGGAAAACAAGGCCCACACAATCAGCTATGCAGGGCTCCTAGGAGTTCATAGAGACTAAAGTGGCAATCATGGAGCCTGCCTGGGATTGAGTTAAGTTCTTTGTATATTATGTAGTGGTTGTTTAAATTGGGATTCTTGGGGGACTCCTAAGTGTGAAAGTGGGTGTCTCTCTGACTCTGCCTGCTCTAGAGACCATTTTCTTCCTACTGGGTTGCCTCATCCAGCCTTAATGTGAAGGGATGTGCATAGTTTTACTATGACTTGAAATGCCATATTTGATTGATGTCCCTGAGAGGTCTGATATTTTCTGAAGGGAAAGGAGGAACAGTGCATATGGGGTAGAGGGGATGTGTGTGTGTGGGGGGGGGGGATGGGAGGAGTGGAGGGAGGGAAGGCAGCAATTGTGATGTATTGTATGAGAGAAAAATAAAAAATTTATTTTTTAAAGGTCACACCACACACTGTAATATAACTGGGGGTAGCATCACAGAATGGGCTAGGGTCTCATAGTTTCTTCTCCCTCCACTCTTCCCAGATCCTGCCACCTTCCCTCTCCTCCAGCTCCTCTGGTACTCTTCAGAAAAAGAGAAGGTCTTCAGAGATATCAACTGAACACTCCATAACAAGGTAATACTAGGAACAAACCCTCATATAAAGTTTGTGTGAGGCAACCCTGTAGGAGGAAAAGGGTCTCAAAACAGGTAATGAATCAGAGACACCCCTACTCCCACAGTTATGAGTAAAAAAAAATAACCCAAGCTAAACAACCATAGCATATATGTAGAGGACCTAACACAGATCATTGCAGACTCCTTTGTTGCTGCTTCAGTCTCTGTGAGCCCCTATGTGCCCTGCTTAGTTGATTTGTGGGCCATGCTCTCCTCATATACCCAACCCCTCTGGCTCCTACAATCCTTCCTTCCTAATGTTTGACTATGGGTTTCTGTATCCACTTCTATCAGCTGCTGGAGGAAATCTGTAATGACAATTGGTCTAGACATATGGTGAGTTTTTTTTTAACATAAATGAAACCAATATAAAAACTCCTTCATAGACATGACCAAAAGCTTGTGATTGCCAAACTTGTCTCATTGATAATATTAGCTATCACATATTGCTTTGGGACTATTATATTTCTAAATTTTCTTCTTCTTCTTGGTTGATATCACTGAAAGTAGGTTCTCACATAAATTTGGAGGGATTCTTATCAAGAGATGATAGATACTGACAAATACACTCACTATAATATTTAGAATTGTGTGTCGGGGCGTATTATGTGTATTTTCCCTTTAAGGATGAATACTTGAAGTATGAGAGAAGATAGATGTAAATTTGAAACATACTGGAAATTGGTCATCCAATGTTCTAACTAAAATTGTGTGGGATGTTGCTTAAGGATTTAGTGAGAATCACAATAGAAGAAATTCAAGGTAGAGGGCTGGGGAGATGATTAATCAAGTCAAAGCAAATGCCATGAAACTTTATGATGTTGTTTCAATCCTGGATTCCATGTTAAAAAAAACTGGATGTAGTGACTCACATCTTTAATCCGAGCCCTGCCGTTACACACCTGAACTGTGGTTGGAGACAGAAAATCAAACTGAAGTTCCCATACATTATTGCAGAAAAGATGTAATAGATAGACACTGAGTCCAAAAAAAGTTAAAATAAGAGAACCACTCCAGAAAACTTGTCAGCTGATGTCCATGAAACACACACACACACATACACACACACAAAATAAATGGATATTCAAAAAACAATTTTAAAGCAAAATAGGATGCCAATGTAACAACTAAAACTTACAGTAACTGGAAGACTTATTTAATTTTTGTAATTAAAAATACATTTTAAATCATCATTTTACTTTATGTGTATGGGTGTTTTGCCTGCACATAAGTCTGTGCACAATATGCATGAAATGCCCATGGAATACAGAAGAGTGCATTGAATTTCCTAAGACTAGACTTACCCTTTGGGGCCTGGAGTTAGCAGCTTTCCTTAACTGTGGAGGAAGAAATCCACTACCTATTTACGTATGTATCCTTCATGACTCCAAAACCCAGAATCATGTGAATGACACTGAGATGTTTGGCTGCCTGCTTCAGCAGTACCCTGCCCCTCTTGAAACACATTTGCAGCAACTTTTTTGTTAATTCCTTAGGTTTTTTCTTTTACAAACTAGAGTCTTAGCTAAGTGGGTATCCCCCTGAGGGCACCCTTCCCATTATACTAATGCAGATTTGGCTTCTCCTTAGTAGTGCTAATGTCCTTAGCAATTACAGCCTCCCTCCCTGCATAAGAGGTTGGCTGTAACCTTTAGCTTGCCAGTTGTTCTTTTCCCTTCCAAAACATTTTTACTTTTTTAAAATTTCTTTCTGTCCCATTTGTTCTTTTTCATTGTTGACCTGTATAAGTGTGATTACTAATAACCACATTACAGAGTCAATATTAGACTGTTTTGAAATTTCTACTGCCAAAAAATAGTCCGTTATATTTAAATTTAGCTTCACATCCATTCATAGAACACAATCAGGATTTAACCACATTCTTTGCCAGTACATGAAAAGAACAGTCTCCCTCTCAGTCACTAATTTCGTTTCCTTCTAAAACATCTTGAGTGTGTCCTCCATAGTCCACAGAACTCTCAGCAGTACTGTCTTACAGGATCTTAGCAGGATGACCTATTAAATGTTCTTTACAGTGTAAAACTGCTTTTCTATTCTAAAGTTTCAAAGTCTTCCACATTCCTCCAACCCTCACCTCCCATACACACACGGGGTCGGGGGACAGGCAGGCAGACACACCTGTCACAGAAGTAGCCCAGTTCTTGACACCCTGTCTTAGTTACTCCTCAGTTGCTATTCTTATAAAGAAATTGTTTAGCTGGGATACAGATCCAAAGGACTGAGAGTACGTGATGGCAGATCAGGAACTTCTGAGCTTTCAGAGCTTGAAATCCAATCCAAGCAGGAGGCTGAGAGAAAACCCTAGGAATGACAAGAGACTTTGAAACCTCCTAAACTTCCCTAAGCAGCCACCAAAGGGGAATAAATATTTAAATGCCTGCAAAAGGAGACATCTCTTTGAAACTAACAAAGACCCCAAATAAATGGAAATTTCCTCCAGCCAGAGGGGATTTTATCTCCTGGAAAGAGATTTCACAGGGTTCTGAGGACTTGTCAGACCACCTTAGACAATGATGTGTCAACATTGGGCAGCACCACACCTTGACTTGAACTGCTAATTAGATTTGCATACCCTTGACCATATTTTTAATTTTAATCTCACTTCCCTTGCCAGGAGACTGACTTAGCAGCTTAGTTGGATCTCTTTGTCCATTTCCCATCGTAATCACATTGAATAAATCCCATTTTTTCTGGAGTTTCGGGCCTGGAAGGGCCATTTTTTTCTGCTTTGCAGGGTGAATGAATAAATAAATAAAACAAAACTCAGGAACCAAAGTATTAACACATTCCCCATGCACTGAATTGTACTTATAGACTGATTATTAAGCAAATTAAATTATTGTGTTTTCTAATATTGAAGGCATGTGATACGGTTTTATCTTGAAAAGGCAATAAAGCTCTATATTTTAAACCAAAAAGAAAAAAAAAACAAACAAAGCTGAAAGGATGGGATCATGGAATAATTATCAGAATCACTCGTTTTCCATTCTTAAGTTAGAAACATGTTGTAGGTGATTCAGAGGAATCCACTATGGGTGACTAAATAATCACTGTCTAAGTAATAAATGACAGGTTTGGTGCTGTTCACAAACTGTGCTTATTATTGTTTGTGTGTATATGGCTTCCTGGTGACATTTTATTTTTACCAGCCAGTGCTTATATGAAAACTGCACTCTAGCCTCAGAAATGCTTTGCCTGACCAAAGAGATCCAAACTATGCTGGTTTGGATACCTAATGCATAGTCTTTAACTACTGATTGAAGGCTTTTCATCTGGTTTCAGGAATATAGAAAACTCTAGTTCCTTTGCTGTGGTTCAGACAACTTCGGATGTTACCTACAGTGTGTCTGCCTACAACCAAAAGAAGGAACATTCCACACTGCTGAGGTAAGGCTTAAAATTCATGCTCTCTTCATAAAACAGAAAGGTAAGATTCTGTCAATTCAGGTTATAATTTTATTAAGTCATACATTGCATTAAATTTTTGTTTTTCATAGTGAAAAACTAGCCAACAATACTTGTAGTAAAAGTTCCTGAACTAATAATAAGTCTGGTACATTCCTGGTTCCTGCAGTTACTCCAGGCTATGTCTCCACATCTGAAGATATTAGTTAGAGGCCTCCAATGAGTAAGAACATGTGTGTAACTTTTGTCTATCTGGATCTGGGTTACCTCACTCAGTATGAACTTTACCAGTTCTATTTACCTGCAAAGTTCATGAATTCATTTTTCTTTACAGTTGAGTAGTATTCCGTAGTGTATATGCACCATATTTTCATTATCTGTTCATCAGTTGAATGACATTTAGATTGTTTCCATTTCCTGGCTATTGTGAGTATAGCAGCAATGAATGTGGCTGAGAAAGTATCTGTGGAGCAAGATGTCCAGTCCTTTGGGCATACGTTAAGGAAAGATATAGCTGTGTCATATGGTAGCTTTATTCTTAACTTTTGCAGAATTTGTCACAACTGATATCCAAATCTTACCAAAAGTGAATATTTGTTGTTGGTTGTTTTGTTAATCTTTGCCATTCTTACTGGGGTAAAAATTGAGTATCAAAGGTGTTTTCATTTACATTTCCTGAATCCCTTGGCATGATGAGTAGTTTTTGAGATAAATCTTAGGCATTTTTTTCTGCTTTTGAGAACTCTGTTTATGTTCTAAGCCTGGTTTTTTAACAGTTCATTTGCTTATTATGACTTTTTTGCTTTCTGAGTTCTTTGCATGTTGTGAATATTAATTCAGTGTCACATTACAACTGGAAAATATTCTCTCCTTTTTTTGTGGGTTACCCAGTTGACTATTTATTTAGCTGTGAACTGCTTTTTAGTTTTTATAAAGAACCACTTGTCAATTACTGGTCTTAATTCTGGGGTAAATGAGTCCTGTTCAGGAAGCCCTTTTCTAGGTCCAAATTATATATGCTATGGTCTGTATCTTCTTCTAGCAGTTTCAGTATTTTGGATATAACATGTAGGTTTTTGATGCATTTGGAGTTAAGAGTTAGTTTTTAAAATTTTTTATGAAAGGTGACAGAAAGAAGTTGCAAATATTAATTCTATATTGAAAATCTTGAAAGTATAGACCAATGATTTCCTAAGTTAGAAATAAAAGTTACTGTATTTCAAATGTTTATATAGACCATTTCTCAAAATAATATTGAAAAATAGCTATGTTTATAATATTAAATATTTCATAATTTTGAAAACAACTGCTATATGAAGTATGTTGGAGTTAAGAATAATCTAAATTATTCAGACTGTCTTGACATCATTACAATGTAACATATTTTTCATTTTTCATGCAAGCAAAATATGGTATCTGTTACCTAGATAGAAATAATATAAAATAATTTTTAGTAAAGTCATTTATTCAATTGTAATATTAAGTAGCTTTAGCTTACACAGCATTTTAAAGCAACAAGAATATATTCAAATACAATGTCATTCTTTCTAGAGGACATAGGTACAGGTTTTAAAAAGTAAAGAAGTGTGCATGAAGTTGGGGTGAGGACATGTTGGGGAGGGTGTTCATGAAGAGTTAGGGAGTTATTGTATGTATGAAACACTCAAAGAATAAATTAAAATTATTTCAAATTATCCCATTTATTCAGAGACTTCCTGTAAAATAAAATATAAACGTGAATTGTTGTCAAAATGTTAGAGGAAATATAGGGGTAATATATACCCTAGGAAAATATTCAATCCCATTTTTACAACTGCAGAATTAAATGTTATATTGTAAACATTTACATTTCATATATTTTAGGTGATTATTTATATTAGGATACAAGAATATAATAAAATTAGTTGACATTTTTATTTATCATCATTTATTTAAAGTATATAGCACATGAAATTTTGTGTATATTTTATACATATGGAGTTATGGTTTTGGTTGAAAGCTATGTCAGTGTTGGGAACCAAACCAGGTTCCTCTGTAAGAACAATTACAGTTAACAAGTGAGTCATCCTTCTAGTCCTGGCTCTTACATTCTTTGTGTCTAATCTTATGTAGTGTTCTCAGACCCTCTGTGGGGGTAGAATTACTATAGATATCCCATTATAGGTAGAAGAGTCAGTCTCTTATTCTCAGCATTTTGAGCAATTATGCATCTCTCTATTGACTGTTGTCCACTGCAAACAGAAGCATCTCTGAACAAGACTGAGAGCAAGCAGTGAAGCTCTATGGTATAAACACAAATATGTAGAAGGTAAATTGACAGCATGACTATTTAAGAAAAGTACCAGATTCTATCCTGTGACCTCCCAGGCCGTGAGATTTACACCAGAAGTAGAGTATGGGGCATGAAATTCCCTTCTGTGCATTGGCCTCAAATCCAAACAGAAAGTGGTTAATTAAATGAGATACATATTTGCCACACTTGCACCACTTAGCACACATTGCCTGCATGTTAAGTATTCAGTATGTAGGGTTCAGTGCTGGGTAAATCATTGAAATCTTACACCAAACCTTGCTAACAGACTGTATAGTACTCCCTGGCATTATGAAAGCTACCTACATGGGGAGAAGTTTCCTGTTCAGTTTAAGATAGATTTCTCTACGTCTTACAGCCAAAGTGTATTTTTGGTAACCCGTCTCCTACCACCTCCTTTTTCTTTTCCTGTACCCTATCATGGATTATTCTGGCTCTCAACATTCTCCCTTTTCTTTCATTTCACACGTTTTCTACTATGCTTCCACTTATATTTGTTTTGAGTTGGATTGTAAAATAACTGTCATCCATATGGCTTTCTTACTCCTTTCCTTAGAGTTAGCCTTTCCCTTCACTCCTGGATAGCCCCTGAACTCTATTATGCCTCCCTGCTTAGGTCTGTCTGTTCCCCAGGATTTCACATTACTACTTCTTTTTTTTTACCTGTAATCTACTATCCTCGCCTTCCCTATCATGTACTCCCTTAAAAAAACAGCCTGCAGCCTGTTTCTAATTTCCCAGATTCCATTGTGCTCTAAGTGAAACTGATTAAACAGCAGATTAAAAGCTCTGATTTGTATATGAGAGAGAAGACTCAGTGAATGTTTTTTATAGATCTGGGTCACCTTACTTAAAATATTTTTCTCTCAGTTCTATACATTTACCCAGAAATTGCAAATAAAATAATTTAAATTTTCTTTGTAGCCCAGTAACATTTCACTGTGTATATGTACCACATTTTTTTTTATCCATTCATCTGTTGATGATCTAAGGTGATTCCATTTCCTAGATATTTTGAATAGAATAGCAATAAACATAGATGTCAAAGTATGGGTGAATAGAAAGTCTGTTGTATATATGCCCCAAAATAGTATGGCTGCATCGTATGGAAGTGTATTTCTTGTTTTCTGAGAAACATTCCAAATGATATCCAAAGTGAGTTCACTAGTGTAACTTCCTAGTAACAGTGTATTCGAGATCCTGATACACACAAACTGCTATAAGAGTAGTAGGGTTTATGCTTCAATTTATAGGTACATGTATGGATTATCTAAGTAAGATAGCACAGGAAATAAGAAACAGTCAAGCATGAGATTGCATGAAACTGAAAAGCTGCTGTGGAACAAAGAAAATTGTAAGTAAATCAAGAAGCAATCCTATGGCAGACAGTTGGTGTCTATAATATACCAAGAACTAAAAGCAATCCTGGACATTGAGATAGTAAATAACCTAATTAAAAATGAGATATGGTACTTAGTTAATTTTCTAGTACTGTGATAAAACACTACTACCAAGGCAAATTATAGAAGGAAGGGTTTATTTGGAGCTTCCAGCTTCAGAGGGAGAGCAATACTTCACCATTGTGTTGAGGAAATAGCAGGCATGATGTTGGAGCAGAAGCTGAGAGCTCACATTCAGATCCAAAAACAAGAGGTAGAAAACTCACTGGGAATGGCAAGTGTCTTTTGAAATCTGTCCCCAGTGACATATATCCTCCTCATAATTCCCAGTTCTTCCTTAATAGGTCCAACAAGTATTGAAAAATAATGAGCTTTTGGGACCCTTCACATTCAACCCACCAAATCTCACTCCCTGGTCCCCATGGGCTCATGGTCATATCCTAATGCAAAATGTATTTAGTAAAACTTCCAAAGTCCTCATAGTTTTCCAGTAAAAGAGGCAAATAAGGATCTCTTGAGATCATCTCTGCAAAATTCATTATTCCATTACTTTTCAATGTTGCAAAGGCAGAAATAAGCCACATCAAAATATCCGAAGAATATTGTTCCCTTCTGAAACCTTTGAGATAACAGCACTATTGTCTTCCAAATTTCTACCAGGATAGCCCAGTAAGCTCTTTTCTTGTCCACTTCCTCAGAGTTTTCCACATACCTCCCCCCCCAAAAAATCATGGTTAGGCCTATCATAGCAATAACCCATTCCCTGGTATCAACTTCTGTTTTAATTACTTTTATGTTGCTGTGATAAAAACACCATGACTAAGACAATTTATAGAAGGGGACATCTATTTAGGTTATGGGGGCCGTTTGCCCTTAAACCACCACAGAACAGAGGAGAAAACTCACAAGAAGAAATAAAAATTAACTAGGAAGAATTTTTAAAAGTGTTCAACATCTTAAGCCACTAGGGAAATGCAAATTTAAACTAGTTTTAAGATTTTATCTTAGCTAAGAAGTGGGTGCTTGTACCTCTAATCCCAGCACTTGGGAAGCAGAGGCAAGCAGATCTCTGTCATTTCAAGGCCTTCCTTATCTATAAAGTAAGTTCAGGACAGCCAGGGCTACACATAGAAACTTTCTCAAGAAACAAAACAAACAAACACAAAATTAACAACAGAAAATTTCTGTCTCACTCCAGTTAGAATTGCCATTATTAGGATTACAAATAATATCAAATACTGACACAAATGTTGCAGAAAGAGACTATTTAT